CGTTGAGTGTTGTTTTTAAGGCTTACATTTAGTAGTTGTTTGCTGTTTTTGTTTGTAAATTCTGGGCACTTATTGTTGAAAAACAATTTCCACTCATAACTCACTCTATGTTTGGATAAAGAATTGCATTTAATTTAAATTTGTTTTGTTATGCATTTGGTTCGGTTCGCTATGTTTGCAAATGAGAGCCTATTTTGTTGTTATTATTGCCATTTCCTTCAAAATGTCACTAATTCTTGCTTTTTACGTGAATTTATTTGAGTTTTAGTTTACTCTGTTGTTTATGTAAATAGTTTTTATATATCCCATTTTTGCTCTAATAATTGTTTAGTTTAATCTCGTTTTCTGGGTCTTAATTTTTATTAATCTTTTAATTGCTAACTGTGTTTGTGTTTGTATTTGATTTGATGTATTTTTTTAGTTATTTTTATTTTCATTTTAAAGTAACTTTTAAATTAGTGTTTGAATTATTGATTCGTAGTTATTCTCAGTATTGTATTGATTTGATGCTCAATACCAGTGCTCTGTGGATATGAATGAATGGGTTTGAGTAGTGTTTTTCTGGGCTTTTGATTTTGATTTGATTGGCAACGAAACTCATGTCCACTCATCTGCTCTCTTATCCACTGGTTTTGACTATAAAAATAGATACACTTCTTATGCATTGCTTTTCACATCACTTCACTCTCTTGTATAGCGAATACATATAAAAGTATTGATTTTATGTGTCGATACGAAAACTTTCTACTCTTATATATACTTCTAATTGAAATGCTTGACCCAAACGGACGGATAGAATGGATATTTTCCCTAAACGATAGACTTTCTCTCCTTTTCCCTTGCATTGCATAATGCAATCAATAAAAATAGGATATTCTCTCTCTCTCTCTCTCTCTGTCTGTCTCTCTCTCTCTCCCCACTGTTTGTGTGTGTTTTAGGTATAAGTTTTTTACACTAAATTAATCTTTATTTTCTTAAGGCTCTCTTTCTGTCTCTCCCTCCCAATCCATCTCCCAATCCTTTCCCTCCCAATCCACTAATTCCTTTCACTCGCTGTCTGGCGAACCAAACCTTTCTCTCGCAGAATAGGAATATTCTGTTAATTAATTCGTTGCCATTTATTCTTCACATCTCATCTCCCTTTCCCAGTGTTCACGACATATACACCCAAATATTTTTTATACACAATGAACTGATCTCTCTTTTCTCTATTACTTTTCATTCAATAATTTCATACATTTTTTATTATTCCTGGCTATTACTCGAGGTATGTAAGTGTGTATCCAATGGTTGTAATCCATCCATAAATGCAATATAACATACATTTGAAGTAACTCTCGTGAGAGTCAAGACAACAATTTTTCTCCTTTTTTCGGAGCAAATATTTCTTTTCCTTTTATTTGATTCATACTTTTGTATATAAGAGTCTGTCATATGATATACGAGTTTATGAAAATGGATTTCTTTGAGACATTAAATTGAATTTTTTGAATATCTATATTTCTCATAGACTTGTTTTATGGCATAATTGACAAACTGTTTTGTTAGATAAATGGCTGTACTGTACGTATCGATTTGAACTGATACTGTAATTGACTGAAAAGTTTAATCTTTTGTTTGTGATCTCTAATGAGCTCTTCATGTGTGTCTGTCCTTCAAAAGCCATTATAAATGTTTTGTCTTTACTTATTGATAGTATTATGAGATTAAATTATAAATTATAAAAATGTTATCAATTATGAGTTATATAAAAGCTATTTTTCAAAGCCATTTGAATAGCTCTCTCTCTCTCTCTCTCTCTCTCTCTATATTTGAGATAATTTTTTTTATAGATATTGTATCTGTTTTCACAAATAATATAAGAATTTGTTTGCATCGCTCTAATGATAATTGATTTAAAGAATTTTGTTTTTATATTAGTTTTTGTGTTCATATGTTAGACATAATGTCTTGAATTTAATCTTAATTTAATATTTTCTCATTTATTTCTATTAAATTAAATATGATTCACCAAAATGTATTCACAAAACTTAATGCACTTTTTTATTTATAGACTGAAAACATAAATAAAAGTATTTTTTGTATAATTAATGTCTTGGAAAACATTCTGACCTTTAATTCTGATGCAAAAGATGTTTTTGCAGTGAATTCACTGATTAATAATTCATGTATTAATCACTCAAAAACGATATTTTATAATAATTCGCTTCAATTAAAAGTACTGAAAGTAGGTTTCAGTTTGAATATTGAAGTTTTCAGTATTTTTTTCGCGATGAATT